TCCATTTATTGACACCCATGTCTCTAGTTTGAGGGGTTTTTTTATGTGGCAAACCAGTAAAGTTGATACCATCATGGTGAAAGCAGATTCTTAGGGGACACAAAATCAATGGGGACTTGAACAGCAGGATTTTTTTTCCCTTTTTTTTTTTCATTTTTAGGAAACCATAAGCAAAGTATTCAAATAACTCCTTAGAGAGCAGCCATCATGGACAGAAGTGGTGAAGTAAACATGTGGACACTGGGCATTTTGCCAAATGCAAGAGAGCAGCAGACTTGGATAAGAAAGTACAGATATTCTTTAGAGAAAGGAAAGTGGTAAGTGAATAACTTGAAGTCTAAGTCTCTAGAGAGTTGGGGTGAAGTCAAAAAATTAATCAGTACTGATTAGAAAGATAGATAGATAGCTGTACTTTCCTTTGGAATTTTTCATTAATTTTCTAACATTTATAAAGCTATATTTTGTGCTAGGAATATTCATTCACAACTCTGTCTTGGACATATAGCTCATTAAAAATAAGTACTAATTTTAAAATGTTTTAATATTAATAACTTAAAATAATCACATTTCCCTAATATGTATCTTGATTTATTTTCAATCAATATTAACATTTGAGTTAAAAATGAGATTTATATTTACAAATATTGTTATTTTGATAAATCCAGTAAGAAAATTTCAAGTCCAAATAACAGTTAAGTGTTTCAAAGCAAATTTTCAAGAGTTACATGACAGAGTAGTTTTCCCCTAAACACTAGTACCATGCAACTTACCATAATTTGGGCAATTCAGGCATGATAAGATTAAACCATACAGCTGGAACTGATAATACAATTTTGGGATAAAATGAAATGTAAAAAAAAAAATTCCATTATACTTAAAGAGAAAGTATGAGACAGCCTAAAGTTATAGAAATATTGTACCAAACATAATTGATGAAAAATATCCAACTCAAATATTCCCTTCCTGGCAAAATGACATATAACATAAAAGAAAATATTTCCTGGATTTTCATTTGAATGGTCATCAAATAATAATTTACTTACTATTTTGTTTAGCAAGATGAATGATAAGCATCATTGGATGATTTGAAAGGCATGGGTAAGTAATGTAGTAGTTCATTTTACTGAGAAATTCATGATTTCAGCTAGCTGTTTTTAAAACCATTTGACAATGCTTTGTACTTACTCAAACAGTTAAGACTGTTTTAAATACAATATTAGTAGTGCACACTGGGGGAGAATTTGGCTAAACACAGAAATATTGCATCTAAGAGCTTATGTATATGCCACCAAGATAAAGTATGACAAAGTGACATATGAAGAGCAAATCTAATTAACATATGACTTCATTTTGATTGTCTAATGAACATGAAGGACATTGTACAATAAGTAGATTGTTTTGCTCTTTAAATAATTTTTCCACATAGAATCATGAGTTCTGAATATTTCCTTTGTTAAGTTAGATTATAAAAATGTGTTTATTAATTTGTCTTTCACCTACCAATTAATCTTTAATGTTGGTTGAATTTTTCAGCAATCTTTTACTTCAGGCAATCTTAAATCAACTTGAATTTAAGTTAACTGAAATTAAAATTCTATCTGAAGTTAAGAAATACTATAGAATTTCTCTCCCTTGCAAGCCCCTTTTTTACTTTGAGGCTTTATACTTTTGTGCATATTATTACCAATATGAGTATTTTATCTTGAAATCTGTCTTCACAAAAACAGGCATTACACATTGTGTGATAGACAATTAACAGAGAAACAAGGAGCAATGGTCTAAAGATGACCCTCTTTTTGCTGGAGTCTTGTTTTAAACCATCAGCACAGAACATGTGTGGTCATAAAATAGCACATTAATACATTCTTTCCCTGTCAGAGAAAGTTAAACCAAGCTTGCCAAATTCCAACTCAGGTAGCTCCATTTTTCCAACCCACATTCCTACTGCTTTTTCAATTGAGTGAATTATTTTTACTTCCTCTCTTTTAAAGAGCTTCTGGCTCACATAGGTTATCAGGTTTCCATTCCAGTGGCTGTTGCATTTCCACAGTGAGTGAGTGATCTCTCCAAGGTACTTTGGGATGAAAGCGAGTAGATAAATGTGAAGAATTATATTTTGATTTCTTCTCTTTGGGGGGATTATTCTATAACTTTCATGTTTAGCTTGGAGGGCTCCTTTGATTTGATTTCTCTTCTGAATAAATGAAACAGCCACCCAGATGGCAAGCACTACACATTTCAGCATAGTGTAATTTGATTTGGAAGTTCAATGAAATTCACTTGGAAATGTCCCTCTGGTAATACTTCCCTCTTAAAAATTTCAGTTTTAAATTCCTGGCTTCATGCATGAAAAAGATCCAAGAAGATTGAATGTAGAGTAGAAAGGTAGCTGTAGAAATTACTTTTCACCACTTAAACAAAATGTTAAAATGATTGGTTTTCTCTTATACTATTCCTAGGATTTCACTGAAGAAGCAGTGTATATTAGGTAATTTTCAACCTCCAGTATCTTTTTTATTATGAGAAAATATTTCAAAATTTATTTTTTTGTGCATTTAGGTGCATCAATGTTATTCTACCTGGACAACATTTACAGGAGGACTATTGTGTACAAGGATTAAATGATAAAAGAAAGATAAGAATTACTCTTTTTTCAGACATATTCAAACCTCACGCCTATGAGATTACAAAATCCCTAAAGACTTTGTATGAGTCTATCAAACATATGCATTTAAATTAATATCCTGACAATGTCTTTGGAATTTCTAACATTTATTGATCTGGCATTCACCAATGTATTCCTAAGGTTTTGACTGTCTAATACCCCAACTGATTTAGCAAATCTATTCCCACATTTAAACTGTTTCCTTCTTCATAGAGTAGACCCTTGGTATCTATGGATATATGCTTCCAAAGAGACCAGTGTTGAGGTAAAACTGCAAATGTTCAGAATGTGTGTCATTCAGAACTCTAAAATTAATCAGATTTACCTATATAGTACATACTGTAGGCCTGAAAATATATAACATAAAACTGCATGGAGTAGGCTACATTACTGTCACAGAACAACTGTTGCACACATTAATACTACTCACTGAGAACTATATCTTATTTCATGCTCTTTGTCTCATATACTGTCTTATTCTTTTATTCCATAATGCCATCCAAGTTCTACTAAAGACATACTCCCTTTCAAAAACTCTCAAATTTCTACTTTATCACTTAAATTAACTGCTTTCACTTTTGCTTTGTTTTATGGGAAGCCTATTTTTATAAAATTAAGGGCAAGCAAATACTCAACAGACCACAACAAGATTTAAAGACAACTGTTGATAATGTGGAACTGAGATCTCCTCTACATCACCTAAGCTGAGTAATATGCACAAAGCAGTTTAAAGTTTTTGTTTTTGATTTTTAAAAATTTTTTTGATTTATCATTTTTTGACTGTGCTTAGTCAAGATTGTGTACAATAAATCCATGAATAATGTGGACTTTCTACTCTATTGACACATAAATGCTCACATGTGTGCATGTGCTTATACAGGCAAATGAGTTCATAGGAAATCTCAAAATGTTTAAATAGTAATTGTCTTTAACACTTATTATTCTTTTAAAAAATTGTATCTCTTCATTGATGGCCCTGAAGAACTTAATCACTGTGTGAGGCTCTCATTTTACAGACCTTTCAAATGATGAAGCTAAGTCAAATTTTTCCCATTAATAGAGTTAACATGAGAGCTTTTCATTACAAGTAAATATTTGTATAAAACTTTACTTTTGTGACCTGGGTACTAAGATTAGAGTGGGAAAGTGTAGGAAGTGAAAGTCAAGACCCATCAAAATTAAGTGTCTTGAATAAGTTCAGAGAAAATTATCAAGCATATGCAGCAGAACAATAGAATCTGTATCAACTGTAAATCAAACACATCGTGTTTTGATTAATTATCAACAGGGCATTTTAACTTTTATCAGTTTATTAGAATGTGAAGTCTTTACATCTTATATTACATTATCTCATTTTCTGCAGAGAAAACATCTAGAATCAGTAGGTAAATAGAAATATTACAAATGTAATAATAGTACCTTGCACATCTACAACATGTCTGTATCCGATCTTCTCAGTACTGAGGAAACAGAATCATTCCTATTAGTACCTACATTTGCTGTCAGGGATTGTTTTCTTCCATTTTACACTTACAGACTCCTACTATCTTATGATCACAGTACTTGAGTACTTCAACAAGTGTGCCATTTTCAAGACCAAATAATATAAAAAAGAAATGAAAAAGTGGGGGGGGATGGGGGGAGAGGGATGGGGCAGGGGGTAAGGGGGAGAAATGGCCCAAACAATGTATGTACATATGAATAAATGAATAAAAAAAGAGAAATGAAAAAGTACAGTACTTCATTATGGCTTAAGACAGGTTCTTGGCTACCCCATTGAATGAAATTGAACCAAACTGGAATCAAGGTCAGATAGTGCCATCTTACTCACTATTATAATAGGTGTATTCAGTGGTAGTGTGAGCTACTCAGCTTCAATAGTTATATTCAAAATTAACAAAAGTTTAGATAAACAACTTTGGAGAGATCAGTTGAGATGATTTTCTGTTAAACTCTATGGCTAACAAAAGATGGTACCCTAAGAAAAGTATATTAAAATTTCCCTATGTTACATAAAATTAAAAGTAGCTTAGTTTCTCTAGCTAAGTTTTAATAAAGCAGTCATATAATGGCATTTGATGAACAGTACATGTCTTTTATCATGTATTATGGAACGATTTGGGTTTTGAAACCTGTACTCCATAGCATTGCACTGATTTTGGAGAAAATTGCTCAAGTTAGCATGGATGGAAATTTAATATCATTGTTCCCAGCACCAATAAGTAGATATGACAAGTCAAAGTATATAAAGAAATGCCAAAGAATGTACTGAAGTTGAAAAATAAGTTTTGAAATCATTGTGACTACCACCTGATTCTGTTGCAAAGATAATTACCAACTAGAGTAGAGACGAAGGAGGAGCTGGGGTCAAAAGGACATCTGCCCCTTCCTCTCTCAGATCTGTGTGACTCCAGGTGAAACAGTGGATCCTGTGAGAAAAACAGAAAAGCTATTGTGAATGTTTCAACTTCAATAATCTACTTGATCAGATAAAATACATTAAACTTTGATTATTTATAAGGTAAATATTGTAAAGAGGACACCAGTACCATCAAGTTATTTAAGCACATGGGCTTTGCAAACCTATACTTCTCAAAAAGTATGCAGATGATGCAAGAAATAACTAGTTTTTATCTGTTGATCAGACAGTACTAGTTTGTCTGAGATGGTCAGTTAAGTATTCAAAAAGGTTGAAACCTGATGAAAAGAGGTTACTGAAGAGGAGATTCAATGGTAAGAACAGGATTAGGGTAATATTTCAAAAATGCCTCATTGATAAATGATAAAATTTACTATCGATAATTTAGACTATCTTTAATCATTTTTTATTCTTCATTATATATTCTTTGTTTTAGCATTCAATATCTGAGAATTTTAGAGAAAGACTAATGCAAAATTATTGCAATATATATGTATCAATAAATGCCATGTTAGGTACTATTTCACTTTTAATTTTCCTTTTCTTATTTTACACAAGAGGCTATAGGTGTAGCTCAAGTGGTACAGTGCCTACTTAGTCAGTGCAGGGCCCTGAGTTCAAACAACAGTACTGCCAAAAAAAAAAAAACCAAAAGAAAACAGAGTGAACTGATTTCATACAAATAAGATAAAAATAAATATTTCCATTACAAATTACTACTTATTGGCTCCTGTTTCAAGCATATAACCACAGTTATCTTTGAATGTTCCCAGATTTCAGAATTCCCATTATGTTTTTTTTTATTATTACTATTAATCAATCTCCAATCAGTGTGCTATAAATGGTTTAGGTAAAAGATAGTCATTTAGGGAAGAAACAATAAAAATTGCTGTTGGAAAACAAGTAGAAAAAAAAACAACATGCAAAAGAATATTGCTGATACTGCCCACTGTGGTATCTATCTATAAGCAAACCTACCCATCTGTAATCATGACCCTATAGACAATCCTGATGACACGAGGGTCGGGCACACTTCTCTTGAGCCTGATTTTAACTTTGCTAATAATTCCACTTCCTCCACGTTATCTGTATTGTCTTATGTAACATATATTCCCCTTTCTGAGTCTGATATCCTAAACTCACCTTCCTGATTCTGCCATTCCAAAACCCTTCCAGTAAATGCTGGATTCACCTGACCCCTGTGACTCTGGTCTCACCTTTGTAGTTGAAACACAGCTTATAGAACAAATTTGTCCTTCCCAGCCAGAGATGTGACTGCAGTGATATTTTAAGTAACAAAGTTTTACCTATTCAGCTACTGTATACAAATTAGAAGAAAGCATGAATGGTGGTAAATAATTTGAGAGATGTTTGTGTTCACTTCTCACAGGTGACCATTTTCAAAGAGATGAGGAAAGTTTATTTAAGGAAGAAAGAATTACAAGTCTGCCTGGCTTAATACTTATACCAAAAGAATTTCACCTAAATTTGCAAACAGACGTGTAGTATATGAAGAAGTGACCAAGTATATGAGTATAATACTTTGGGGCCCATTAATCACTGCTACTCTGTAAAATATCTGAAAATGTTGTAGAGAGGGTATACATTCCCTCTTAGAAAGCTTATAAAGAGAGATACTGAGTGGCTTTCTTAAAGCCAAGATTTTCTGTTGTTGAAAAATTATGTGCCATTCAACTTTTCATCTCTAGATTTTGATTACCAGGTTTTTTTATCTAACAGATATAATTAGCCATTATAAACACAAAGTTGAAAGTACAAGAGTAACACAAGTGTGTTGCTTATTTATTGGAGAAGTATCCTGCATTCATTTAAATTTAAACTGTCAAATGGGTGAAGCAAACAGAAAATGAAAACGTAAGAGTTCTGTGATCAAGAGAATCCCGGAGTGTGTAGAAGTGCAGAGTAAAGGAGGGTAATGAAGTCACAATTTCTTAGGAAAGTCACACATTCTTTTAAGTAGACATTTTAATCTAGGCTCTTGATACTATTGTTGATTTGTGAATTTCAGCATGTGTCTGAGGTATCAAGTTTCTAATATAACAAAATATTCCACTCTCAAGAGAAGTTGTCAACAGTATACTAGATTCTTGAAGAAGTCTATAACTCTAACGTGCTGAAAATAATTAAGTGGAACCTAGAATCATCCTAGAATTTTCAGCTATATAAGAGACAGATCTGTGCAAGATGTAAATCTATTTGAGTCTGTGAAAAGAGAGTCTGTTATGAAAGCTTAAATTTGACACTGAGAATGAAGGTGCATTGGATACTGAATACTTTCATATACTTAGACATCTACACTACAGGTCAAAACTCAGATATACCTTGACCGAACCCTTCTCGCCTTTCTCCAGAAGACTTCAAATACCTACCTCACATTTATTTGATTAATGGCTAAACCTAGGTCAACAGTGTCCACTTTAAAAATAAATAAACTAAATTTTGTCTGATTTTTCCTCACTATCCATATTTTAAAAATATTTTAAACAAACATATCTATCATTTTAATGTCAAAAATGAATGACTTCTGCAATCAACCACTAATGATATTTTTAAGGATAAACTATCAGAACATTCCCACGTTAGCCAGGCACTGTTCTTTTCATGTGCAAAGAGAAGAAAGGTAAAAATCTTTAGAGGATACATGTATTTCATTCACACATGATAATACATGTTTAAAAATAATTCAAGGAGTCAAATAATGCAAAAATGATAAACAATGTCAAATTAGATTGTAGACTGGGATTATTCTTAAATTTTAATTCTGCAACATGTTTTGAATACTATATAGAATTTATAACAAAGAAATAAAAGTTACTATGAACACTTGAAAATTCTGTACAATTTTGCATAGATATTCTTTGACTCCCAAAATCTGAAATTTGCTAGATGAACATCTAAATTACTGCGTTAGCAGCTTGCTGCACAGCACAGAAAGTCCCATTGTTTTGTTTACTGGTCAGATGTGTCATGTTGTTCTACAGGAGTGTAATGTAGGTGTTATCAAAATGTTTCTTTATTTGAAACATAGTATACCTTTAAAAACAACAATATTATGTCTTTGGTTTTTACTTTGTGTTTGAGCTACTAAATTAAATGAAGTTATAACAATAATACATTGGCCAGTTTTTTTGTAACAAGAGTTATTATAATCTTTTTGCTAAAGTTACATTTGATAGTAAAGCTAGAAAAGAGCTGGCATTTTTCATTTGAATGATTTGAAATCCAAAGCATGACTGTGGTCACAGGGAACTTCATCTGAAGTTGTTATTTGGAACCCTGCCTTATTTATTGATACAAGTAACAGCTTCCTTACAACTATTCAGTTGCCTGTGACAAATGTGTAACTGTCTAAATTTTATCTAAGCACATTATGTGTAATCACAAGCTTAAAGCCTACTTAATTAACTTTATTTAGCACAGTTAAAAGAAGTCAAGTAAGAGGAAATGAGAAATAAAATTATATTTCACTTAAACAATGCTTTATGACAGTGTAAGAAAATACTTATCTATGGTTAAGGCCAAAAAAACCAGGAGAAAATCTGCCTCTTTAACAAACACACTGAACAATCCCATTTGTATCCTATCCATGTTTCTTGGTAACAAGTGTAACATTTCCATTGAATACATCATGACATGCACAAGTTCAGAAAGATCAGTCTATTTGGAGACAGTAAAGCCACATTTTTGGACTAGTAGTATTGCTTCTCTCAAGCTTTTCCACGATGTTTTCTGAATACCTTACTTCACAGTAAATACATCCCCAAGATGGCAATACATTTTCGTCAGACTTCTAAATTCTTGCATAATTGAGTCAGAACTACAATAGGTAGAACAATGAAGTGTCAGAGACCTTGTTATAATTCCTGGGACCTGAGAATATATTACTTTATACTGTGAAAGGAAATCTGCATATGCCATTAAGTTAAGGATCTCGAAATGTGAGGACTACCCTGATTTACACAGGTGGGTTCAATATAGTCACATGGGTTCTTAAAAGGCAGAGATGTGATGATGAAAGCAGAGAAGCAGCCAGAGTGAAGCAGTGAAAGACAGATCCACTAATGCTTGTTTTGAAGATGGGGTATGGAGCCATGATCAAGGATGAGAATGGTCTCTAGAAGCTGGTAAAGACAAGGAATTGAGTTCTTCCTTCTAGAGCCTCCCAAAGGTATGCAAATTGTTGACATCTTGATTTTCACCCAGTGAGACTCATTTCACCTACAAAACTATTATATAGAAAACTTATGTTGTTTTCAAACCACTAAGTTTTGGTAGGTTTTTACAGCAGCCATAGAAAACTATATACCTCCCAAGAGGACAAGGGTTCCTACCAAAGTTCTTTTGTTTTTTCAAAGGTTGGCTCTACTCCCCTCACATATACACACTCTATTTTCAGGAGGCAATATTAACATTATTCTCTATACCCATGCAAGTTGCACACTGCAATTCCATAACCCATTCATATCAAGACTATGCAGCCTACCTATGCATTAAATATCTCTGTTGTTATTGCCCACTGACATCTATGTTTTCTCACAATCACTACTTTACATGGTTCTTCCGAATCTTAAGTTCCACCTGTGTGACAGAAAATTTCCATGTCCATGTGCCCCTCCCACAATCTAGTCATGTGGTTCCTAGATCCTCAGTGGCATGACCTTCAGGACCACTGCCCTTTACCCATATTATCACTGTCACATTATGGATCTTGTCACCCAGTGCAAACACTTGAACCATATGGCTTCTCCTCATCCCAACTCCTCTACATAATTATCCATAACACTATAAATGCTCTTTGACCTCATACAGGTTTCCAGATTTAGGACCCTTGTGTTTTAAAATAAAACATTCCTTTCCCTTCTTCCTCTTAGTCAGTCCTTTTCTCCTTTGTCTGTAATTCTTTCTTCCATGTGTCTGCTTTCTCCACTCTTATACCTAGGCTGCTAATTAGTGCTAGAAAAAAAAACATTCAATAATAGAGATTGCTAA